AAATAAATCTTTTTTTAAAGTCATAGTTGACTTAAGCTATTCATCTTCAATAAATAACACAAGGAGATAAATTTATGAAAACATCATACTATATACCATGAGGATGTGGTTATTATCTGTCAATAAATACCTTAATAAAAGTAAATAAAATATGAGAGTTCTATAATATACAAAAATCTTAGGTAAAGTATTTTGTTCTCTGATGGATTTACAAACAAAATAAAATAACTCCTGCATACATTACATAATCTAAGAAAATCTTATTGACCTTGTTTGCCTGCTAGATTGTGATAAGCCCTTAAATATTATTTGCACATATTTCTCAGGGCTGACCATGTGGTGTTGGATCACCGACGGGTGTGCTCTTCTCTGGGGAAGACTGTTTCTCTCACTCTCAGTGTTCCTTAGTTGCTGTCGTTCTCTGTCTAGGGCTGAGGCCTTGTGGGCTTTTCCCTGTCCACTTGGCATGTCTATTGCTGTCCTTGTTCAGCTCGTGTTTAGGTGGTCATCCTGGTGAGACCTTCTGTGTTTCACTTCAGACATTAGTAGGAGACTCATAGCAAACTCTGCGTTCTCTCACTTACACTCTTCCCAGCCCCTATTCTGCAGTGATCCCTGAGCCTTAGGCATGGAAGTTTATTTTGTAGATGTATCCATTGGCACTTGGGCTCCATAGCTCTGCGTTTTGATTGGCTGTGGTTTTCATAATGGTGTCTTTCTACTGAAAAGAGAAGTTTCCTTGATGGGTGAAAACTGCATTTATCTGCGGGAATAAGGACAAATATTTAGATTGTTGTTAGGGATTATGCCGGTTCAGTAAAGTGGCAGTTGTAGATTCTCCTCCAAGATTCATGACTTCACTAGGCCTGGGTGATTGACTAGGTTTCCAATATCAGGTGTGAGTACCCTCTTGTTGAATGGGTCTTAAGTTCAATTAGAGAACTCTAGTTAGCACCAAGCTATGCAGGCCGCTACTGTGGTTTTTAAATATAAAGCAAAGAAAAACCAGACTACAATTCACAATCCCAGAGAACCTAGACAATAAAGAGGTCACTAAGAGACACATACATGGATCTAATCTACGTGGGAAGTAGAAAAAGACAAGATCTCCTGAGTAAATTGGGAGCCTGGGGACCTTAAAAGAGGGTTGAAGGGGAGGGTGAGAAAGGGAGAGGATCAGAGAAAAATATATAGCTCAATAAAAACAATTTTTAAAAAATTATTAAAAAAGAAGAAAATGCCCCCCCCCACAGACTTGCCTACAGGCAATCTGATGGAAGCCCTTTCTCAGCTGAGGTTCCTCTTCTTAGATAACTCTAGCTTATGTCAAGTTGCAGGAACAAAAACACCAACCAGGACAACTATGAAATAAAGTAATCATCAAGATACCAAAAAGTTATCCCTATGGCAACAAAATAAAAATCCACTCAATAAAGAACTTCCCAATATGATACTGATATGGTGGCTATCAAGAAATATCTTCAGAACCCTTCACTAGAGCGGACATCAGACTTCCCGAACCACATTCACTAATGGGAAACCCATACCCAGGAAGAGGCTGCAGACTGCTTCAATCCTGACGCGTACAGTTAACTCAGACACATTCTCCAGGGCAATGATGAGTCTAAAGACAATAAATTAACAAGAACTCCCTCTAGAATGTTCCTCTGTACAAATACAGCCCCTGACTTAATTATCTACAGGAGATAACTCAAGTCTCAAAAGATCTAAGGGGTGAACCTCAGGAGACCCCCCCCCCCCGTGTCATCAAATTCATGCTTTTTTCTGCACTCTGCTTAGTCTGCCTCCTACTCCTTAAAGCCCTCACTGTCTAAGTGGAAATTCTTTCATCCAGTCCTCCATTTTCTCACTGCTGGCTCCTCACCCTGCACCTCTTCCTTCTTCAACCTCTAGGTAAGGAAGAATGGCCAACTAAGGTCTTATGTCTTTAGTAAGTTCCTCTCTCCTCTAGCTAATCCCACAAAGGATAATAAAGAATATTCTTTTTTGTTGTTTTGTCTTGTTTGTGAGACAGGGTTTCTCTGTAGCTTTGGAGTCAGTCCTGGAACTAGTTCTTGTAGACCAGGCTGGCCTCAAACTCACAGAGATTTGCCTGCCTCTGCCTCCCAAGTGCTGGGATTAAAGGTGCACACCACCACCGCCCAGCTATGGAGAATATTCTTACCTGCTGAGTGTGGACTAGTGTAGGAAATGAGATTTTTTTTTAAATCAAGGAAAATAACATAAGAGCATCTAGGAGGCTGTGCTCGTCAACCTGATTATGACCTTTTTCACTCATCACCTCAGCGATTTTCACATCCAAAGAAAGGAGGATGTAGGATTTTTTTTTTGTACTCTAAGATGCCAGAGCAAATCAAATTTCAACTTAGAAAATAAGCATACATAGTAGACCAAAACAGGACAGTAGCCGTTCAAGGAAAATTAAGTCACTGAGTAATAAGTATTAGGATTTATAAGCCAACAAAATGAAATTTCTGACATATAATATTTAATGGTGATACATAAAAATAACTTCAAAAAATACAGGCTAAGTCAATAGTGCTGGGGTAGTTGTGAAAAAAAAACAAAGTTTAGAGTAATGGGGAAAAATTTGCTTAAATCTGAGTAGCAATCACTGCATGCACTATAAGGGGGTAGATTAGGTCACCCTAACCTGAGCACCTGTGTGGGTGGTGGTCAGAGAAAGAATTAAGATGATATTATGGAAGTTAATTGTAATCCCACTCTGAGCAGCCCACGTATAACCTACCTGTTCATTTATGGGCAAAGAAGGGAGGTGTGGGGCAGAAGCCAGGCCAGAATTGGGCCAGGGCCACATGTTGAGGTTTTGAAGGTTCATATGACCTTAAAAATAATGGCCCGATAGAATAATAGAGGACAGAATTTCTGGAAATTATTCAAGCAGGTTAATGTGAACACAAGACGAAAAGAGTTTAAGTGGAGCGTGATTCCTGGTGCCACCTTAATTTTCCTTCATGTGTAATTGACCTTTGCCAACTGATGCTGTGCTACCCTGGCATCCGGCTCTGTTCTCCCCTCTGCTCCATCCTGTTGGCGAGGATTTCTGCTGGTTTTGTTTATTCTGCTGTTTTTTCTTAATATTCCCAACATCATTTTAGCTTGATTGTTCTTCAGCAATTCTCTTTGTTGGACACTGTTTTCAGATTTAGGGTTTTTTTTTTTTTTAAACGTTCATTCAGCTCTTTGTTTTAGTTCTCTTAGAGTACTTGCATGGATTCTTTCTGTGTTTTTAACATAGTTATAAGCATTCTTTTGAATTCTTCATCTGGACGTTCTCACACCCTGTTCTCACAGGAGCTGTGGGGTTAGTGATTTGGGGGGAGACATGTTATCTGGGCGATTCACATTTCTGCGCTGGAGCTTCTGCACATGGAGTTAGCTGGCCGAGTCCTAGTTCTTCTTTCAGCGGAGGCTCCTACAATGTCCTAAACTGTAGGGAGGTTGAGCTATCTTTTTCCTTTGCTGGCCTGGTACTGGGTCAGAAGACTCTAACCTTAACCCTCCTCTTACTGTTAGGAACGATTCTGTGTCATCTCCAGCCTCCTCCTTGTGCCTGTACTTTCTGCTCCATACTGTGGAATTTCCTGTGCCCTGGGACATTTCAGGCCCCCTTCCTCGGTCCAGCTGGGTGTTTCTCTGCAGAACAGACAATTGTGAACAAAAAGGTTGGTAGATTTTATATCATATCTTTGCAATGAAAGAATAGCAAGTATTAATGATAATGTGGAGAAACAGTTTTTAGTGGCAGGAAGGTAAAATTGTACAAAGATTCTGGAATATGGACTAAAAAACATAATTATAATAAAATCCAGAAGTTCCACTTTTGTGCATATACCCAAAAGAGTTAAAAGCTAAACCTCAAAGTGGTGTTTGGAGAGCCGCATTCCCAGCAACTTCATATCCAATGGGCAAAATATAGACACACTCAAGGAAGAATTCATGGGTGAACACAAAAGACAGCATAGTAAACACATGTAGTTAAGGTTGATTGGCCTCTTAAAAGATAGGAGAACCTGACAGCCTGGAACATAGATTAATCTGGGTGAGCTGGTGGGAGCGAAATAAACCAATGACAAAGTTACGAATTCCGTTCAGTGAAATTTCTTTGGGCTAATTAGACTAATTGGAATGGTGGGTGCTGGGCTCTGGGACTGTGGTAGACAGGAAGGTATTGTCCGGTAGGCATTGACTGAGTTTGACGGAGGTAATGACTCTAGTGGTGGATGATAATGATAGCTAAATGACAATATAGATGCATTTAATATATCAAAATTATGTATTGAAATGTAGTTAGATGAATTTGATGAGAAGTCACATTGCTATGATAGAGTCTGGGGTAAAAATGAGAGTTGACTTCCTAAAATAAACCTCTTTAGTAGCAGATTCGACAACCTTTCCCAGTAGAAAGAGCCCACAGAGTTGTGTGTAATGTGTGATAAACCCGAGTTTCTACCTTCCCGTCTGAGTCCCAACACCCTTATTCACCTACCTGTACTTAAAGGAAACGTTGGATAACATTTCCCTCTAATAGAGTCAGGAAAGAGATGTCCCAGATGAAAGGACAGCATCGTCCTTTCCAGATGACATGGCAGCACCGTGTTTGCTGAACGTGTGGAAGACAGACGGCTGCGGAGGAGAGAAATAGTAGAGGAGGAAGAGGCAGAGTGAAGCATCCACACCAACAGACTCCTCTTTGACTTGATCAGGCATTGGGTAGACGTTTCCATCAGATCTTAGATCTTCTCACTCTAACGTGACGTGAAGATTAACTTACTGAGTAACGCCTGGAATCAGCCATGTACCGGGAAACTGTTTGAAATGGTTACGGAGAATATCTCACTAATACAATGCCGCAAATCCCGTGGGGGGTTTTAAAGATGCTGCCTTGGGGCTTCTTAAAAAGGAAGCATCCCGTTTACCTTTAAAATGTATTTTTTTTTCCTGTGTAGGCATATGTGATGCGGGTGGCCATGGAAGGCCAGAATGTGAGTTTCCCCAACACCTTTGTCTTGGTGGGCTTCTCTGATCTCCCATGGCTGGAGATGCCCCTCTTTGGGGTGCTTCTGCTCTCCTTCATCCTCACAGTGATAGGAAATAGCTCCATCATCTTCCTGTCCCTGGTGGACCCTAGACTCCGAACACCCATGTACTTCTTCCTAGACAACCTCTCCGTGTTGGATCTCTGTGTCACGTACACCATTGTCCCACAGCTGCTAATCAACCTCTGGGGCCCAGAAAAGACCATTGCCTCCTGGAGCTGCATGGCACAGGCCTACCTCTACCAGTGGATGGGCGGCACCGAATGTGCCCTGCTGGCTGTCATGGCTTTTGACCGCTATGTGGCCATCTGCTGTCCCCTCCGATATGTTCTCATCATGCATCTCTGGGCATGTGTGTGGCTGGCAGCTGTATGCTGGGCCCTTGGCCTGGCCAATTCTCTGGTTCAAACCACACTCACCCTCTACCTTACCCTTTGTGCAAAAAATACGCTGGACCACTTCTTCTGCGAGGTGCCCGCTTTGATTAAATTGGCTTGTAGTGACACCACTGTGAATGACCTGTCCCTAGCCTTGGGAGCCGTTCCTTTTGGAATAGTGTCTCCTCTGACCGTGCTCACCTCCTACACCTTCATTGCCAGGGCTGTGCTGAAGTTACCTTCAGCCAAGGAAAGGCGCAAGGCATTCAGCACATGCAGCTCCCACTTGCTCATCGTCACCATATTCTTTGGTCCTGGTATATACACGTACCTCCAGCCTCCGGGCAACAACACGCAGTCCAAGTTCCTTTCCTTCTTCTACTGCGTCTTCACTCCAATGCTCAATCCACTCATCTACACTCTGAGGAACAAGGATGTGAAGGAAGCATGGAGGAGGATCCTATCCTCCCAGGGAAGGAGGAAGTCTTTGAAAGCCAGATGATCTCCGCCTGGCTCCGGGAACAATCACATGTTTAAGTTAGTGCTGGAAATTTGCTTTCCCAAAAGGATCCGTGCCTAGGTTGGATTCTCAAAATCAACTACACTGAGGACAACAGAGACTCTTTCTTTTTATTTATTTATTTATTTATTTATTTATTTATTTATTTATTTATTTAAGATTTCTGTCTCCTCCCCACCACCGCCTCCCATTCCTCTCCCCTCAACTCCCCCTCTCTCATCAGCCCAAAGAGCAGTCAGGGTTCCCTGCCCTATGGGAAGTCCAAGGACCTCCCACCTCCTTCCAGGTCTAGTAAGGTGAGCATCCAAACTGCCTAGGCTCCCACAAAGCCAGTACGTGCAGTAGGATCAAAACCCAGTGCCATTGTTCTTGACTTCTCAGCAGTCCTCATTGTCTGCTATGTTCAGAGAGTCCGGTTTTATCCCATGCTTTTTCAGACCCAGGCCAGCTGGCCTTGGTGAGTTCCCGATAGAACATCCCCATTGTCTCAGTGTGTGGGCGCACCCCTCGCGGTCCTGAATTCCTTGCTCGTGCTCTCTCTCCTTTGGCTCCTGATTTGGACCTTGGGGTTTCAGTCCGGTGCTCCAATGTGGAACTCTTTCTCTGTCTCCTTTCATCGCCTGATGAAGGTTAATATCCAGGAGGATGACTATATGTTTTCTTTGGATTCACCTTCTTATTTAGCTTCTCTAGGATCACGAATTATAGGCTCAATGTCCTTTATTTATGGCTAGAAACCAATTATGAGTAAGTACATCCCATGTTCCTCTTTTTGGGTCTGGCTTATCTCACTCAGGATAGTGTTTTCTATTTCCATCCAGTTGCATGCAAAATTCAAGATGCCATTGTTTTTTACTGCTGAGTAGTACTCTAATATGTATATATTTCATACTTTCTTCATCCATTCTTCAATTGAAGGGCATCTAGGTTGTTTCCAGGTTCTGGCTATTACAAACAATGCTGCTATGAACATAGCTGAGCATATACTTTTGTTGTATGATAGGGCATCTCTTGGGTATATTCCCAAGAGTGGTATTGCTGGGTCCTGGGGTAGGTTGATCCCGAATTTCCTGAGAAACCATCACACTGCTTTCCAAAGACTCTTTCGACTAGAAATGTCTGTCTTCTAAAATCTCAGATAAGGCCATGGTACTTTTTCTGAACCCTTCCCAGATATTTCTATCCACTGAGGAGAAATGGTCTATAGATCTTTAGTAACTGCTCTTTGGCCATATGCTCTCAAAAAAAGTTCTGAAATGATTTGGGACAGATCCATTCTCCTCAGCGATGTAGCTACTGGTGAGTCACCCATGTCCCTGTCAATACTTTATAGCCTGTGTTCCTGTCAGTAACCCTGACTGAACTCACTGATTCACCAAAAACAAACAAACAAACAAAATAAAACAAAAAAGCACATGAAAATAGGAGAGGACCAGCTGGGAAGCACAGGATCATCAGAAGCCAGAGAAATACAGTAGGGTAATAGGGACATGAATATAATTAAAATAAATTAGATTCATATATGAAACCCATTAGTATACACAATATATAATAATTATATACAGTTAACATATGCTAATAAAACACTACAATTTTAGAAAGTTGTATGTAAGAATTTTAAGCAGATTTTTATTAGATTTCTCCAGGCACCTACTCAAACTGTTTGAACCTCTTCTGTCTGAGAATCTCGTATCTCCCTTTGTCCTCAAATGCTTTGCCAACCTACAAGTAATCATATCCTTACCTCATTTATGCCAACACAACTAAAGATTATTGTCTATGTGACATAATCATCATAACGTCACCATTATAAATTTGTTTCATGGGCTGAAGAGATGGCTTAGTGGTTAAGAACACCAGCTGTTCTTCCAGAGGTCCTGAGTTCAATTCCCAGCCACCACGTGGTAGCTCACAGTCATCTATAGTGGGATCTGATGTCCTCCTTTGGCACTCAGGTGTACATGCAGATAGAGCACTCATACATAAAATGCATAAATAAATCTAATAAATAAATAAATAAAAGTGCTTCAGTTTTTTCAAATCATTTAAGACAAGCATCACTCGGTATCTTTATGAGACATTTTACTATTTATCTTTTATCACTTGCTTCTGCTTAATTTTTCTCTTTCACTACACTTTTACAGACTAGAAAGAGCCCTTTTTTGTATACACATGACACCTATGAGGGTCCACCCGCCTAACACCTACTGCCAAGCAGCAGCAGTTGAACAGGGGTTTGACCTAAGAGAACATGCGGTGTGTCTCATTGTTGCAATCCTGACAAAAGCGCCTTAAGGAGAAGACTGGTTTCGCCCACAAGTCAAGGGTATAGTTCGTGAGGGAGTCATGGTGTCAGTGGTTTGAGATGGCTGGCTATGTTACATCCACAGACAGAAGCAGAGAGAAAGGAATTCAGATACTCGGCTCACATTCTCCTTTCATGCAATCCAGGGACCCAGCCCATGGGATGGTACATCTCATCTCATACTTAAATATAGGTCTTCACACCTCACTTAACCTAGTCTAGAAATCCCTCCCAGAGATGCCCAGAGATGTTCCATGGTGAGTCCAACCCAGTTCCACCCCTTGTCCATTTAACTTTCAAGCACACCACTTTTAAGCCATAGCTTTCTGCCCCTTATCCTAGCCATCTTATAAAGCAGGTGCATTCCATCCAACTTCAAAAATCTCATCGTCTTTAACAGTTTCAACACTGCTTCAAGGTCCTGAATCTATGTTTCATCTGAAACACGGCATGATCTCTTACCTGTAAATCTCTGTAAAATAAAAAAACAAATTACATGTTTCCAACATCTAATAGTACATAATAGGCATTTTCATTCCAAACCCGAATAGTGGGAACTTAGCAATGAATGATCAGACCAAGCCTGAAACCCAGCCGGGTAAGCACCAAATCCTGCAGCTCCGTGTCAGGCATCTGGGAATCATGATGAAATCATCTTCGCGCCAAAAAGCTTGGGTGGTCCTTTCCCTCCACCTCTGCCATCTGCAGTGTAACATAACTTCTTTCTTGAGCCAGCGCTACTCCATAGCTGCAGTTTTTCCTAGCAGGCATTCCCTTAGTCAGTTGCATCTTCAGCATCTGAGGTCTCCACTGCTTGCCACACAGGCTTTTCCTATACACACTCACAAAATGGTCCTTGAATGATTCTAACTTGACCACATATCGCCTGACTTCAGTGGCCTTCTGGAACTGACAGAAAATCCATGATGCTCTCAGTCTTGCCTCTTCCATGTCTGAAAAGCCATTACCACGTGGATGACATTGCCAAGTTCTTCTGCCCCTCAGGATGGAGCCTGCCTGCCTGCACCAGTTTCTGTCACCCTTTGTGTGCTGGCCTAGGGAAACACTTCCCCCAGGAGCTGTTTTTGAGCAAAGAACCCCTCCAGGGGCATTTTCAGTTTAGGTTCTCTCCTTTCAAATGAATCTGAATTTTCATAAGAAGCCTTTAAACCTATATCATGCCCAGATATATACAAACATGCCCAGAGGTTCATTTCCATAGTGACAGAATCCTATCAAGTTGACAACTGACGTTAATCATCACGGGTATTGTCAACCTTTGATCATTATAATAGAGAAACAGTAGGACATTTATTAATGGTATGAATCAAAAACATTCTTCTGTCACTTAGACATTACCTATGAAATGACATGAAATGGCCAAGAAGCCCAGGGATCCTCCTTTCTCTACCTCCCCAGAGCTAGGTTTACAGGAACATGCTGCACACCCAAATTTTCACCTGCGTGTTGGGGATCCAAATCAGGTCCTGTGCTTGTACAGAAGCACTTCGCTAAGGCATCTCTCCAGCCCCGTGATTTCTTTTTAGTTGGGAAACTATTAATAAAAAGATCCAAACTTGCCTTTCAAAAGATTTACCTTTGGCTACATTTTCAGCAAAGGAAAAAACTACTTGTGAAATGGAAAGTGTGTATCCCTGTATGTACATGTGCATGTATATGTTTATAATTATAGCTATATATAGTTATTTATTATAAAGTTTTCATCTTAAAATCTACTACATTTTTGTTAAGTAATTGTACGAAATGTGAATCTCTGTGATTTCGTCCTTGAGTCTGGATTCCAATCCTAAAAGAGACACGGTAGAGGACTGAGACGCAGAGAAAAGTCAGCTCTTCGTACATACAATTTGTAACTCTATTGTGTAACACAGTGTGCCACATAAGTGAACACACATTTTCCATACACACACTTGTGTGCTTCTGTGGCGAACTCTGTTCAAGGAAACCAGGTCAGGACTGATGAGATGGCTCAGTGGATTAAGGTACCTGCTGCCAAGCATGACAACCTGGTTCCATCCTGGGAGTAACGCAGCGGAAGGAGAGAACCAACAGCCTCAAGTGCCTTCTAACCTCCGCACACACCATGGCCCACACATGTCCACACACACATCTATGACCAAACAAATAAACAAATGCTTGATTTTTTTAGTTATTTTTTTCACTTTATTTCCTTTCTTCCTTTTTTTCTTCCTTCCTTCCTTCCTTCCTTCCTTCCTTCCTTCCTTCCTAGAACACAGCAGTCAGTCATGATGGTACACGCCTGCAATCCCAGCACTCAGGGAGCAGTCAGGTTGATCTCTGTGAGTTTGAGGCCTGGTCTCCATAAAAAGTTCCAGTTCATAGTGAAACCCTGTCTCAAAACAAAACAGTGTGCTGTGGCCTTGGTGGCTTACATTTGTAATCCCAGTATTTGAGAGACTGAGGCAATATTGCCATGGATTTGAGGCTAGGCTGGCTACATGCTGAGTTTATGACCAGCCTGACCCAACAACAACAAAACACCAGCATGCATCATTCCAGGGCTGTGGGAAGTGCAGTGCTCTGCAAAAAACAAATCCAGAGCCTTGGGGCGCACGCAGTTTTTCAGCACCTGGACAGCGCCTCTCTCAGTTACAATTCATAAACCTGAACGCAGATAAAGGAAATTAAAAGAAGG